CATAGTATATCAATCTGAACTCCAGGGTTCCAGTATCTGTCTAGCTGAAACATTGTTGTTGATTGTATTTTGTTTATTTCCCATAAAAGTTTGTTTATTTCCCATAAAAGTTTGTTATTTCCCATAAAAGTTTGTTATTTCTCATAAAAAGTCCTGCAAGGTATGGTTTTCATTTTCAGAAATAATTCATGAAAGTTCTAGCCATGCCTGATAAACAATTCCTATGGGTGGTAACTGTTTTTAACAGAATAACAAAGTTTGTGAGAAATAGCGGTAACAACAGTTCTTACTGAACAATGGACATAGACCAGGGATGAAAAGCAGTGTAAACAGCCAATCATCTGATGGGGGTGGGCTGAAAAAGTAAACAGCCCACCATCTGATGGGGGTGGGCTGAAAAAGTAAACGATGCCAGACGGATGCTGCACCATGGTATAAGCTCACTTGCCATTCAGACTAACAAAAGACAAACACAAAGGCCGACATCAATAGAGTGATCATACTTTACTCATGTAATACCACATCTTAGGTTGATTTTTAAATGTTGCCAAGTACTGACTAATCAGTAACTCATCAAGTTTCTCCGTTGTAATATCATACACTTTTAATTAAAATTCATTGAGACATTTTTTTCTTGGGATCTTATTCAATGGCACCATTTTTAAATAAAATAATAATCTTAACAATTTCCACAAGGGCAAATAAAATAATTAATGACCTAAACCACTGATGGTAAATAACAAGTATTTCAGTTTGATGAAGATCACCTCTCTGTAAAGTTCAATGACATGGTTTCATTATAATTTATTGATTTTCATCTGACACCAAATATGTGACTGTTGTTAACATCAAAGTAATATTACCCTTCTGCTCGTATGTTTTATATAACCGAGAAATCGTATGTTTTATATAACCGAGAAATCATATGTTTTATATAACAGAGAAATCCACAGGACTTCATTATCTCTGACATTTATATCAAAGCAGTTTGGATTTCTCTAATAACACATAGATTTTAGATGACCATTTTTATGATCCACTGGGTTTGTGATTCAGGTTACTCCTTCATGTTCTGAAATGATAAGATGACCTCTTTTTTTAATCAATTTGTCCAGTAAAATTGCAGTTGGGATTTCTCCAGTTACTTTCGGAATCCACTGGGTAAGCGAATCAGACTTTCTTTATCAGGTTTGATACACACAGGTTCAGGGCCGACACATCAGGAAATCCACATATCGTCTACCGACCTATGATTGGGTTTTAATCTGTGTAACAACACAACTTGCGAGACGGCCCCTAAGAAGACCACCAGGTTAACCATCACGATACGAGGAACAAGGAACCGTTCGTATAATTGTACTTATATCACATAATATATTAATGTTGTAAGTTTGATTCCACATTTAAAACTTAAATCTAGACTAACTTCAGTGTCTTTCTTCTAATATCAGCGTTTCTTGAGGAAACATTTTCAATTCTTCTAACGTTTTTTCTTCGTCTAGTTGTGATACCTGAAAAATGAGCAAACAAAATTTCTTTTTAATTCTTGGGCTTTTTGATAAGTTATAATTATTTTATTTTGTAATATTTTATAAAAGCTGTTCAATTCTTTAAACTAGGTATTTATAGCCTACCAATCCTTCTTCCTCCCCAAACCAAATCAAACATATATCTTCACACCCTGATCTCAGCATGAAATCCTCTATGACCCACTTCTCAGTCACTGTCATACATTATAATACAGACATGTACATTTACAGGTGATTCTGGTGATCCTCCTAAAATATCAGAAATGACGATATGAGCAACGATATTAAGTTGCCAACCATGGGAAACTTGATTGCCATACTAGCTATAATGTAGTTATATCCTAGAATGTGCTTCCAATTGATATCTATTCGCCATTAACAGAGAAAGGAGATTAGCGAAGCAGATATTGCAGAAGAGAACTTACATCTCTGCGTGGAAAGGTGGTAAGGATTTTGAACTCTTCAGTGTGAAAGCCCTGTGACGTGATGAAGTAGATAAGGTACTTGAGTTTATCTGAGGCGTAGAATCTCCGTTGTAAGTTATCCCCGTTGGGCGTCCTGATTCGTATTCGACTCACAGCCTCCTCACATGATTCTGGAGGCTCATCACGGATGTGCATAAGTGCTGACTCCTGTATTGCCTTACAAAAAAAAGCAAAAAACACTTGTGTATAGACAATCTTACAAAGAGTTTATGTACAGATGACTTTCATACAAAAAAAAATGTCTTTGGTCTAACTTATCAATAAAGGAAAAGACTTTAAACTTGAGCATAAAAAGGCCTATGTGTAGACAATTTTACAGTCAGTTGAGAACATTAGAACAGGGCCGTGTATATAAAGGCTAATGTGTAGACAATTTTAGTCAGTTGAGAAAATTAGGGCAGGGCCGTGTATATTCATAAAGAGTTAGACTCCTGGCATCCTTGTAACTAGTATTTGACCATTTCAACACAACTTCATAAAAAACTTACACACATAAAAACATTAATATCAATTCTGTAGGCTATGAATGCCAATAGCTGTTTCTTACCATCATCATTATTATGATGTCCTAATTGTTATGTTGGATACCATTGACCTTCCTGGACAGATGGCTGTTCTATTAACTGAACAAGGTGTTTTTTTCATATCACTATCTCTATAGGAAAGGCAAAAGATGAAGGAGGTTTTTATCTTTGAAGATTTTTTTCAGAATACAAATACAGAAATATAAATCCCCAGCAAACACAAACACTGTACAATATGCTAAATGCAGACTGATATCAATATTTTTAAATAGCTTTACAAAGTAGTGGTTAGTATTTAATCATTGCAGTCACTCACTTCCACAATGTAAATGGCATGCTTGTCTTAAATTTGATAATCTGTGTATACCTGTTTTCTGTCCTCCTCTTCCTTCTTCACTCGTTCCTCCTCCATCTGTCTTATCTGTTCCATCTCCTCCCCCTGTCTTTTCGCTTCAGCCTGTTAAAACACAAGTTATGATACATTGATACCCAGAAGCTTGTTAATCTTACAGCTTAGACAACTTTTTAATCATTTTTCTTTCCTATAACCTTATTGATGGTGTCTTTTATAACCAAAACGACCCTTATTGCACATTGAACTTTGGGTATGCACAAATTCATATTTTATTGTACTGCTACTGAACAGCCTACTGCTATCACTATATTTGTAAAAAGCTTGTCCTGGCCAACTTCTTTGCTTTGTATTTGAAATCCTCGGACCTTGATCTGTGATACTACATCTGTATAATGTATAACCTTTAGTTTAAATGGCATGGATTGAGATTCCTTCACACTGACATTCAATATCAACTGGTGTTATTGCAGTCTTTGGCCTCCACATTCACCAGTATTTATCTTAAGCCAGTTAAGTGACCCTGACTGATTCTTTAAGATGTTGAACACAAAACCATTGATATATGTGACCTTTGTCTTCAATATTTGGAATCAGTGACATGTGACATTGGTTTTCAATATTCAGACCTTGTTTTATGTGAGATTGATTGTCAATAATCTCAATATGATATGTGATATTTGCCATCAACATTCAGAACCAGCCAAATGTGACCTTTGTCTTCAATATTTGGAATCAATGACATGTGACATTGGTCTTCGATTTACAGAACTCATTATATGTGAGATTGGTCTCAATAATCTCAATATGATATGTGATACATGTGACATTTGTCCTTAATTCTTCAGTGATATCTCTTACATGATCTTAGATTTGTAATGATGATCTTCCAATATGTTGGTAAATGAGATTTGTGAACTTGACCTTCAATATGTTGGTAAAACAGATTTGTGACCTTGACCTTCAATATGTTGGTAAGTGAAATTTGTGACCTTGACCTTCAATATGTTGGTAAGTGAGGTTTGAGACATTGACCTTCAATATTTTGATAAGTGAGATTTGTGACCTTGACCTTCAATATTTACCTTGGCTCTATCTGTGGCCAGCGATTCCTGAAAAGCTAGTTCCTGCTCTTGTCTGATGCTGTCTCGTGCTTCTCTTTCGTCCTGAAAAAACAGTACAAAGGATTTCATGAAAAGTGTGCTTTTATTTCATTTTATCCAAAGGCTTTTTTTATGTGTAACCTTGATGTCATATTTATGTGCACTATTTATCTTTTTAGAACTCTTCTAAAAGACACTTTCTCAGTTATTTGACTTTTTTGTGAATGTTTATTTTCTTTATTGTTCTTCCAACCACATATTGGTGGACTACCAAACCAAATGCGTTACAGTCTAACCCTGGGTGTTCCACCAGTCTCACCTCTTCTTTGATATCTGCCTGTTGCTGGAGGTGGAAGTTTTCTGCATTCTGCATCAGCCTCATCATGAGTTCGTCCAGAGTGACTGTACCTGTTAACATATATCCAAGGCATTGACAAGGTCTTTACATCAAAGAAAGGTAATTTTGTAAACCGAGAAATGCACACAGTAAAATATTTATCTTTCACTTGTGTAATCCATATTGAAATGGTGTCAATTTTGCTTTTACAATTGTAAACATTGTGTATAGTAAAAACTGCACTTATAATCACCATTCTGATACAATGCTAAAGTTAACTGTGTATTCTTTCAGCACTCACACCTTTTTATAACTCGCAATTATCATTTGGACAATGGGTCTGGTTAATATGGTATCCTGGTTTACACAGGTTTCCTGTTTAATTCAGATTTCCAGATTATAAATTTTCATATTGGCAATTGTTGTAAAATAAATAAAGCTAAAATCAGGTCCTTCTTGCTTATACAGGTTTCTAGATTATACATGGTTTGGTTTAAACAGACTCCTGTGTAGTTCATGCAGCAGAAAAATACTGAAAACAATGTGCCTTACATTATTTGTGATAAGATTTGTTACCTGGGATCATGTCTAGGACTTCGTTGCTAGCTCTTGACCGGGACACTATCATCAACAATGGCAGCTGATCAGGCTTTTGGCCTCGTATTTGAGCGGCTACTATACTCCCAAATTCTTTTTTGGCAATTGATATAAACCTTGAAGTAACAAAGAACATGAACAAGGTTACCGCGAGCGGTATATAATACGCCCGTCACACATTGAATGAGCAGTTGTTTGTATGATTGAAATATATGAAGTATTTGTGAGTAATTGATATTAAAAGAGAAATCATTCAACATAACTGGTAGATCAATGAGTGCAATACAACATCATGGAACGCATGCATCGCATTAATGAAACCAAGGGTAATAACTCCAGTAATTA